CATGAAACCAACTTAAGTGTCCAAAACTATGATTGGGTTAAAAACTGTGGCGCATATACACCATGGAATATTACTCAGCTATAAGAAACAATGAAACCTTATCATCTGATTCAAAGTGAATGAACATAGAAGACTTAACATTGGGTTAAGTGAGCCAGACTCTGAAAGATGCACACTGTATATCAATATGTAACAAATAGCTACACTTTATGGCAGAAATAACAAGATTTGAAGATATGATAGCAGAGAAGATAAGCGTAGAAACCAGGAACTGTAAGGGAAGGAAGTAGATAGTCGAGAGTGGATGGTAGAGGGTGGGTGTGAGGTGCAAAGGGAAGAAAAAACTGTAAAGTTATCTGTTAAAAATATATATATATATCATATACATTGTGATAGGGACTTTATTTAAAATCTAAAATCAATCTGAAAAAATTTTAAAAGGTAAAAAAAATAAATAATACTAAGGGCAAATGGAAAAGATGTTTTGCATGCTATAAGAGTAAATAGAAGCATGTAACTAAAAATAAGCTTACAGTAAATTTCTAATAAAAATAATTCCATAGGATTCTATAGGTATACCAGAAACTTATTTTTATCATTACATACATAAGAAAATTTCCAAAGAAAAATTATCTTTAACAGAAGTAGTATTTACTTAGTAAGTGACAGTATACATGGTAAATAAAAGAAATAATATAACTTATTTTAAAATAGCAGAAGCACTTAATGGCTAATACTTATTTATTGATTGACATTAGGCTAGCACTAAAAAAATATAGGTGTTACATTTAATCAAATGTTCTCTGCTCAATATTACCTATTTTTATACTGATCTTGAAATAGCAATAGCAAGTTCTGTATTTTAATACCAAGGTAAGGATGATCTAGTTTCTTTGCGCCCTCTGAGTCCTTTTAAGAAAAGTTTTTTACCTTTGCAAGTACTAGAAGGACCCATCAGAAATTATTCATTTCAGTTCCAGAAAATAAAGCCTTCAAGAAAGACACTTCTGATTCTTTAT